CCCCAAAACCCCAAAACCCCAAAACCCCTCTTATCAATATTGGATATGAATATTAATAATGAATTTGATTTAGCAAAGTATATTAAAGTCTTCATATTAATTTAAATCTGTGAATTTCAAAGTGAAAGTTCTAATTAAGAGAAACTGAGTCTTCATTTCTTTCCATAGAGGATATGTTCAAGTTTCTTGATCTTTCTCTTGAGTTCTTTATTTTCTGTGAACCACCTATCGCTCTCAGCTTCCATATTCTTAAGCTCATTGTAAAGCTACTCTCTCTCCTAATCAAAGTCTCCTTTTGCTTATCTGAGTTTCTCAATTTCCATAGTGCACAAGTCGACATGGTATTTATCTTTATGAAGAGTCTCTTCAAGCTCATTTCTTTCCTTTCTATGATCCTCTTGATCTTGTTTTAATTTTAATGAGAGATTGAGCACCTCATCAGTCTTTGAATCGATAATAGACTTGAGTTCTTTGTTACACTTATAATACTCATCTCTCACACTTTGCAATAAACTCTCATAGTCCTTTTTTAGGCAATCTTTCTCTTAATCATGAAGTCTTTACTGCTTTTAAACTTAATAATCATGCTCTTTTTAAAGCCGGTCAAGTCTCTCTTCTCTTTCTTTATGAGCCTTTTCTAATTCCTTATAAGTTTCTTGGTAGTCATTTTCAATCTTTTACTGAACTTTCGACATTGAAATTAACTCTTGAGCTTCTTATTAGATCTTATTCTCCATTTCAATCAGTTACTTCTAAAGTATATTGATCTAAAGATCCTTTTGGCCTAAAGTTTCCCTGAATCTTCTCTCCATTTCCTAGGTTTCAAAAATTAACTTGTCATTGAATCTCCTCTCAGCATCATCAACCTAAGCCTTGACTTTCTATATTTCATAGTCGTGCCCATTCTTTAGGAAGATATATTCTCTCTCAAGTTCAAGATACTTCTATCTGTAATCCTCAGCCATTCTTTAGTAGTAAACAGTCAAGTCACTTCCCTCGTTATTGCTTGATGGTGCCAGAGAAAATGTCTATTAAGGCTATTAAACTTGATTTGGCTAAACCTTTTATGAAGATAGTTGGTTGTTCCCGTAAAGAGAAGAGGAACTTTGACTTCTGAGGAATTGAGGATTTTGAAGTTAGGCATGGGATTAAGAAGTTTAAAGTCTTCTTGGAGATATTGTTTGGTAATAATCAGTATTTTGATTTTGGTTCTGAACTGGCTATAGTTGAATTGATGATTGATATTGCTGGGGTGCTCCGTTCAAAGTCCTTAATTAAGGCTGATCTACTTTTTACCTCAAAGGGGAATGCTATTATCTCTATGCATAGTTTTAAATATGAGGAGGCGAGAGACTATCTTATCTGTTGTGTCTATAATCGTATGATGCTGGTTGCTATTTGTATCCTGACTTATTCAATGAGGTATCTCTAAGTCTGCTTGAAAGCTACTGCTCATCAAATCTTAGGTTGAAGTCAAGTTCTCTGTGTGATCTCAATGATTACTGCAGAGTAGGAGAAAGTAACTCATTATTACTGTGAGTGCTTCTCATAGTTTGCATCATAGGGTCAAGTTATGGTTAATGATGAGTATTTTAGGTTGAAACTATATGGAAAATTATATAAATAAGCGCTTATTCTTACCCATATCATTAAAATGAGGGGATACTCTTAAATCAGATGCCTAAGTTGACTGCATGTTATTTCCCATGCTCATCCCTTATCTCCCTCCAAAGCTTTAAAATGTTCTCAAAGGACTCTTGCTTGAAACTTCATTATAATGTCTTCTTAACGGGGAGGAAATTCCATTACTGGATTGCTCTAAAATTTATAGAATAGCAAATTAACTTACATCTTCTATCATGCTAATCACGATTCCCTGATAATTGTAAGTTTTGCTAGTCTAATTATAATATAAAAGGCAAATTGTTTACTCTGGCCCATCTGATCGAACTTGATGGTAATTCTTGTGTGGTTTTCTTTTTCAAACATCTTGTGATATTACTTGTCACATTCATAGCAGTGCTTCATTGCTCTCTAGCTAGTTCCACATTCAATACATTCCAGAGTTGCAGGTGCTTTTCTGCATCTTTCACATTTTTCATAGTCTATTGATATTGAATTTAAATATGTTGTTTAAGGTCTTACTTCTTGCTGACATATTTGTTATCGGTAGTTAAGAGATTGTTAAATTATTAAATGAATTCATGAGAATTTAAATTTGATAAATAACGAATACAATATTTCTTAGAAGTTTATTAAGAGTTCCAATATAATCAAGAGCCGATATATTAATCATTATTGCTAATTTATTAATGGACAAGACTTTTGATAGTTAAAACAACTCTATCATTAAATTGTTGGAGTTAAATCAAAGTCCTAGACAGTAAAATTAGGACTATTAAAAGCTAGAGACGAGCAGAGTTGAAGAATTGATAAACCAGCACTTAAATGTAAATAATAATGATGCTTTAATGAGTTTATTTTAGGAATTTGATTAGAAAAGTTAAAAAATTTTGTAGACTGCTAAGTCGAGTAGTCCTTTTTCTGATAATAATTAATACTCAATTAAGAATCATTATTAGACACCTCTTATAATTTCTTCGCAAAATTAGCAGACGAAGTTATAATTCTTACCGAGTAATAAAATGTAAGACGCTAAGGATAAACAAAATTAACAATAAGTTAAGGTGCAAGAGACTTCAAATGAGACAGTTAGAAAATTAGGAAATAATTTTCCATTCATAAAAAGAATGGAGACGATGGAGTAGAAGCAAAAAGATAACTAGTAATAATACTTATAATACAAGGCTCTTCTAACAAAGGATAATGGAATCGATTTAAGTTAAATATTGCAACGGCCATCTGAATCCTACAGTAATAAAAGCATGTTTAGGAACAATACGAAGCCTCTGCCCAATAGAGATTCACTTAGTAGTCAATTATTTCTAGACCAATCTATAGATAGAGGCTTTCAATCTTCATTTAGGCGAAATAACACTCAAATTAGGCGAGTAACCCAAAAGAACAACTAAAATAACACTCAGATCTACAACTAGTCTCAATTGTATAACTTCCGTGTTAATATCAATCAGACTGCATCTTATATAAAAGTGAAGAGGAATTAAAGAGTAATATGGAGTCCAGACGATATCAAAAGTATCCAACTTAAAATTTCAGAATTAAACTGGGTAATAATCTACTTTATTAATAATTTTTATAGATATTTAATAACGTAAAAAATAATTGTATTCAAAAGCAAATAAATTATTATCAGAAAGAGCCTATTTCACCTTCATTCCCTATAAAAATTAACAATCATGGGAAATCCAAATAAATTACATAAAATCCTCTAAAGAGAGCTGTTATAATAATATCAGAGGAGTAATTATTACATGAACAGACATAAATAATTAAAGAGCAGTCATTTACAACACCTTAAAAAAGAAGTACAAGCTTACCTGACTATAGAAAAAGTCAGACACAAGAACTCTAAAGTGTCAGTTATATGTAAGTAGTCCCTAAACAAATCAAGATGAAGAAAAAGAGATAAACTCAAAAGCCTAGCCAAAAAAATAGTAATTCAAGTATTAATTAGCACAGTGTTAACTCAATTGTAAGCAATAATACAACTAACTTGAATTTCACTATAAACTTTAACATAAATCGATAAGAAAGCAATTAGTTTTGAACTAAGAGAACATTATAAAAGGAAAGTAAATTTAAGGCCGAAAATTTTCAATAATAAAATAATAATAACGTGAATAACTCATTCACTGAGACCTCTCTCTCTGATGCAAGTTTGATTAAAAGAGGGACAGAAATATTAACATAATAGGTATTAAAGGAGTTGATTCAAACTAAAGATGACTTCAAGGGCAAAACGTATGAAAAAGAAAAAGATAGTTGGCGATCTGACTCTTCGGATGAGAATAAATTTGAGTGAAAATCAACCAGAAACAATAAAAAAAGACTTACCTCCAAGCAATCAACAGTTGGAAATGAGTATCGTAGGCTTGACTCAACCAAACGCAGAAAGCACAGACAAATAAAAGCTAAACTCAGCAAAGCCACTGTAAACTAATTTATTGAGCCTCCATCCCCTGATCCTATGTAGAAGAAAGATTCTTCTAAGATTAATATTTACTTCTATCACAACAAAATATCTTCTCCTTCCGTATCTAAAATCCATAAAAATAATACTAAGATAGATTAAGAATAAGGAGAGTTTAGTTAGCTAGCTAGGATGAAAAAAACTTCGACTGACTTTAAACTTAGATTAGATAACTAGAGTAGGATACCCTAAAAGAATAAACTGAGTAAATGGAAGAAATTATAGCATTTGTTTGGGGGATTACTTAGATTTAGGACTCAAGATGCAGTGAAAATAGTCAGCCCAGACTAAATAATAGATGAGATAAATAGAGTTTAATAACCTAAAGATTTTTCATTCCAAATAGCCCCAAAAATTAAAAAAATCCCGGAAAAGTCAAATAATAATCCTGATGAAAAGAAAAGAAATAATAAGGCATAGAAACCTCAAAAAAATAATAAAATAATTTTAGATGTACATAATCAAAATGAACTAGATGATTCAAATAGGCTTGATGCTGGAGACTTTGAAGCAATGATTCTTAATGGAAATAAATAAAATTAAAACAAGATATTACAATTATAGACTACTTAATAATAAAACAAATATGTAGTTCCAATACAAAATTAAAAAGCGTAAAAGAAAAAAAAGATATAAACTGCTCCAAAAGTGAGGGAAATTGATTATTTCAGGAAGATTAGGAGGTTCCATGAAGCAGCTAGCAGAGGATCTGCTAAGGATGAAAAGAAGATGATGACTGAACTTAAGACAGACTTAAAGAAGCATATGTGGACGAGAAGTGATCCATAACATTTAATTAATATAAAGAATGTCTTTGGCCAAACACCTCTTTATGTTGCCTGTGAGAACGGGAACCTAAACATTGTTAAGATGCTAGTTGCGAATGGAGCCAATGTTTTTATAAAGTCTAATATTGACAAAGAAAATGAAGAAAATAATCTTCAATGTGCTGCTAGATGGAAGTACTTTGATATTGTTAAGTATCTAATAGAGAATATGGACTGGACAAAATAAGACCTTAAAGAAGCTATCTTAATTCCAGATCTATAAAGAAGAATCAAGAATCTTCTAATAGATCACTATTAATTGAGATATGGAAAAATTTACTGCATGCGCTGTTGCTTTAATTTTTGGAATTGATGAATATTGACTACCTTCATATATATTAAGACTGATTTGATTTATATTAGATATTGAATTTAACTGAACTAATATAAAACATTCTCATAAATAGATGATGTGAAATTTATCTCATATTTATTAAATTAAGTTTTTAAAATTAAATAACTTCATAAATTACTTCAATCGAAAAATCTTTGAAAAATGGGGTTTTGGGGTTTTGGGG